ATCAGACACACTCGGCATCCCTATGTCTTTTGAAAATAATATTTTCATACCTCCCTTAATTTTCTTTGTTTGGACATTCATTCAGTTCCGCACTCAGACTGTTCCACAGTTTTACTCCACCAACAGAAATACAAAAACTTTGCGAGTTGTAATGATTTAAAGTTAAACTGACCCCTTAAATGATAACTCCCTTCCCCTTCAACAAATAATTTCTGAATATTACCTGGTAATTTGTTTTTTGCTTTAGATATCCTTAGTGCTGTTTGTACCTCTACAAGACCTGTAAATTTGAGTAATAATTTCATTTGCAATAATTACAACTTTCACGAAAGTAGCAACACGTTCCTGAGAACTTCCCTGCTAGTTTGTGATTCTACTTCCTGTTTACAGCCATGATTCACGTCAACGTCTGACGTGATTACACTTTGTGTAGCCTGGCCGATTCGCTCCAAGCAGTTGATGGAAACACATCTGATGTGCATTTCTTTTTTTTGCGACATTTTAAAAGTTTGCTCAAATGCGCATTAAAATTGAATGGAAACACGGCTGTTGACTATGAAAGTTTCAGGACAGTAAAACATGATGACGTTTCTTGTTAGCAGTAGCCGGTGTAAGATGAGCTGGTACACCTGGAGTTCTCCATCTTGACTGTGTTTAGTGAAGAAGTGAATAATAGCCTACATTACAACTGACACGCTGGATGTTTAATTTGTTCTGTCACGTTTTCTGTTTGTTTGTTTATTGGTAACCATTTAACATTATGTTTGTCGTTTTCTTCCAGGTGGCGTCTCTTGGGGTCACGACATTCTCGCTGTGCGCTCTGTGCATCGACCGTTTCCGCGCCGCCACCAACGTGAAGATGTACTACGAGATGATCGAGAACTGGGTTTCCACCACGGCCAAGCTCGCCGTCATCTGGGTCGGCGCTCTGCTGCTGGCTTTACCCGAGCTGCTGATCCGACAGCTGGTGACCGAGGACGGAGATCCGCCCGACGTGACGCCCTGCGAACGCTGCGTGGTCCGTATTTCCACCCAACTCCCCGACACGCTCTACGTCTTGGGGCTGACCTACAACGGGGCGCGCCTCTGGTGGTACTTCGGCTGCTACTTTTGTCTGCCGACGCTGTTTACCATCTGCAGCTCACTGGCCACGGCCCGCAAGATCCGCCACGCTGAACGGACCTGCGTACGAGGGAGCAAGAAGCAGATCCAGCTGGAAAGCCAGATGAACTGTGCCGTGGTGGCTCTGGCCATCCTCTACGGCTTCTGCATCATCCCAGAGAACATCTGCAACATTGTCACCATGTACTTGGCAGCTGGTGTTCCTCGGAGAACTCTGGACATCCTGTACCTGGTCAGCCAGCTGTTGCTCTTTTGCAAGTCGGCCTTTACTCCGGTCCTGCTGTTCTGCCTGTGCCAGCCCTTCACCAGAGCTTTCCTAGACTGCTGCTGCTGCTGCTGCGACGAGTGCGGCCCGCCCCGCTCCGCCGCCGCCACCGCTGATATCGAAAACGAGTGCGCCACCACCGAGCTGGAGCTGTCYCCGTTCAGTACCATCCGCAGGGAGCCTTCTACCTCTGCTGTGGGGACACACTGCTGAGGTCAAAGGTCAACGACAGACAGCATCTCAACAGAAATCTGACTGATGAGCTGAAAGACTCCTGATGCAGACGGCTGTCCATCCACTGTTTTATATCTGCGAACGAATAAACAGTCAACTTTAGCTAGCATTAGTGGTGATGCTTTCTTTTACGGTACCCTTATTACCATGTAATTACAAGGTAATAAAAAGGGTAATTAAATGGTAATTACTACCTTACTACATATAATTACGTGGTAATTAGGGTACAAAATAAAAACTACTGTAAGTAAAACTACCTTTAATGGGTAACTACAATCAAATTACTATTCAATAGTCACTCAACACTGTATTTATAACCAAAAAAAAATGCAACTAAAATTTGCGGTTAGTGATTAATTGCAATAAAATATTACTTTAAAACTGTCCAAATTACCTACTACTTATCTAGATGTTACATAGCCTATATGCCACGGTCATTAATGACGTATTTCCGGTAAAATTCTTGCCCCGCTCCTCCCTTCCACTTCCTGGTTACTGCCTATGTTTTTACTGTTAGCTGGTCTGTGAAAAAGTCACAAAAGTTAAAGCATCTGTGATCTACTGGTATAAAARGTGAGTTCTGTTGTGTGTCGTTGTGTCCACTAAGCAGCAGGTACAACAGAGTAGTTAGTTTTTATCCTTTTTCCTCTTGATGAGGAGGTGACAGCTGTGGATCATAGCATTACAGGGAAAACTTATCTTTAAAAGCTCACGCTTGTGTTTGTAATCAGCATTTCTAACCTGAGGATATTCAAGAGTCAGCATCAGAAATGAGAAGATGGAGGTTACAAAAGGGAAATGTACATTTATCCCCTTTTACTGCCAAGATTAGAGAGAAAAGACCACCTCCACACGACAGCTAGCAGGAAGCTAACACAGCAGCCGGTACAAAGGTAGGTGTGTGCGCGTTTGTGTTATACAGAGTATGAAATGTTTTTAGGGAACTTCGTCATGAGTTTTATGTAAAAGTAAAACCTTGTTAGAGTGTATATTACAGAGTAGACTAAAGCCGAGTGACGAGCCCCCCCCCCTCCCCCCGAGCACCGAGAGCAGCAGAACCTCCACCTGATAGTCATTACGTTTTCAGTTCACTAACGTCGGGGAAAACGATCCAAACCAGACAAGTAGCCCATCAATTTAAAGCCCAGACTCTGCTCTTTCCAACAATATAAGTTTCACAGCTCTACGTGAAAAATTCACAGAACAAGCAGCCACAGAAAAGTGACAAAGGCTAAATTCTGGAACCATAAACACGAACGTCTTTCCTTTGTTTTTATGGCTTTAATCCACTTTGGAGTGATTTTTTTCCACTTGGCTGGACCTGTACGTCTCCTGTGTTAATGTTGGTACATGTAATATGCTAATTCTGTACTGTGGAGATCATTAAGAGTCGTTGTTGGGTGAAAAAATCTTTCGCTAACACTGTTGACCGTGAACCTGAAGTGCTGGGAGTGGCATCAAGTGCTGGACCGGATGTCTGTGGCTTATAGTGAATTGTAATACATTACCAGGTAAGTGCTACATTACTGCAGACAATTAATTACATAGTAAAATTGTACCCTAATTACCACATATTTACATGGTAATAAGGTAGTAATTACATTTAATTAAAAATTTTTTACCTTGTAATTACATAGTAGGGTACCGTAAAAGAAAGTGTTACCGAATTAGTTATTTGTTATTATGTTTTTAACGTTTCAGTATTTTTCCTGAACCAGTTTTTTTTTTTTTACCATTTTTCCAATGCTAAAAGCAAACATTAGTCCAGATCTTTTCTTCTGAAGGAATAAACGATGATTAGGATTTCCAGATTGTGAAAAGAGTTTTGTTTGTAATGTTTCATTTATTGTGTCATATTCAAATTCTACAAGATATAGGATTATAAAGAGATTAGGCGTTATGGTTTTCACACTTAAGGAATAAGTAATTTGTATTTCTGTACCTGTGGAGACTTGATGTCTTTTTTTTTTCACTTTTATCAGTAAAAATCTGCTGCCCGTGTTAGCCGTAAAATTGTTTTGAATATATGTAAATATTCTTTTTAAACATAAATGTTACTGATTTATTTTCACACGTTTTAGAAAATAAAGCAAATATCATTTTATTATCACATAATAAATTCTATTGAAATCAATGATTTCCTGATGGAGGCCAACAGCTCAGACACAACCGTCCAACAGTATTTGTTGTAAACTGCTGAAGAAAAGCTGAACCATCTAAAGTTCTGGACTTAAGGTTCAAGTTTTTGAACATGAGCTGGAAGCTAAAAGAGAATAATAACTAGTACAAATGATTGTCTTGGGAAAGAAAAATAACTATAAAAAATTATAATTTCCTGTTATACAAAAGTGACCTCGTATTTATCAAACTTCTTATTACTCTTAAAATTGCTGTTAAGGGTGGACTTAAGTGTAAAAAAAATCTTGGCTCAAAGTTGGGCTTAAAAGTCAGTTTTCAAGGGTCTCAGTCTTACTTTAAGTCAGGGGTGGGCAAATGGCATCCTGTGGGCCATATGCGGCCCTCGGGTAACTTCTGCCCGGCCCGCCAAAAAGAAAAGAAATTTTTTTTTTTAAAATTATTAAAAAAAAAAAAACACAAAGCAGCTCTTAGATCAGTCCTGTTTCTCTACACCACTGAGAACAGACAGTCTCAGTGGTGAAGTTTAACAAATCCAGATCCAATGTCACTGATGATCACCTCTCTTCTTTACCTCACATCACCACCTCAGACATTCAGCCAAACTTTCATACACTTGTTAAAGCCCGATTATAGACTGGATATTTCTCACTGAACAAGTAATGATGTCAGTTTGCAGTCATGGAAGAGAGAACAAGTTTCTCACTTCTCACAGTCTGTAGCAGCTGTAAGAGTTAAAAAAAACTTCTGCTTTTCAAGGAATTTAATATTTATTGAAAAGTGATGTTGCTGAATCAATATTCAAATCTGTTTCTTTCTGCTGCTCCCCTGTCAGGGCTCACCGCAGCAGAGCAGTTTCTAGCAGCAGCAGCACCAGGGCTCGTTGTCAGCTCCGGTCCAGACTGATTCTGTTGGGTTTTCATAGATCCCTGTTTGTTTTGAGTTTTCTGCTGGATACAACACTCCGCACTTATCCAGGCTCGAGACTGACACCAGAACTATACAGAATGAGCCCCTCTAACGATTGGATCATCATTTTATAATCTTGTTTTTGATGAGAGGATTTTTATCAGAGAAATCTTCTACAGAATAATCATCTCAAATGGAAAAAATAATACACGTGAGGAACTAGTTAAATGTCTGGTTAAAGGATGTTAGAAAAGAGGAAAACATGTTTGAATTAAGAAAAGACAGAGTGAGGCTGAATGCTGTCTGTCCAGCAGACACTGTCCCATTGTTCCAACAGTTCAGACTCCAAACATCCTCTTTAGACGTTCAGTTCGTCCAGTGAACTGTCCAAACTCCTGCAGGACGCAGCGAAACACTGAAAGTCCAGACAACTTCAAGTTTTCAACAAATTGGACTTTTTTTACTTCTTTGTTCCTCTGTCGTTTTCTTTGCTGTGTCACCCTCAGCTGGCATTTCGTCGTCATCATCGCCATGCAGCCAGCAGGACACAGCGCTCCATTGTCCTCGCCAGCTGTTGTCATAACGACCATGGGAGTCTCAGCTGGCCGCCTTGGTGAACAGTGTTCCTATGAAACAGGCAGAACATCAAGCCTCGTTCAGGCCAAGACAAGCTGTCAGTGATGACCTCTGGTCTGAACCGCGGTGGTCCTGGTGTCGGACGTGTTCACAGGTCCGTAAGCACACTGCTGTCAGAGCAGCTTCTGCTTCTCATGAAAACATTACAGAACAAGCAAACACATGTTCCTGCTGCGCTTCCATGAAGCTCTGCACATTCTCAACACCGAGCGCTGCCAGTGTGGACTTGCAAAGCCGATGGAAACCTGAAAACCTGGTCCGACACAGTAAAGTGCTTTCACACCTTCATGTAGACGTAAAAAAATTAAAGAGCACATGTTTTGTTAGTTTGATTGATTTGTTTTGTAAAAGCTTTTTGAAAAGATACTTATACAGAAAATCCCCATAGTTAGTTATGAAATCTGCTGTTTTTTATGAGAACAAGATACTCAGCCTTTAGGGCCTAAAGGCTCATGGGACTTTTCATAATTTAAAATTTGAGTATATGTGGTCTTTCTTTTAAGGTGTGCAAATCTAGATATGGGCTTAAATCTAATCTAAATGTCTCTTGTAGTTACTTGTGTTTTATATTTAATGTTAACATAATTCAAAGATAAAATAAGCACCATGAGTTAAGACTATCTGACCAGTGGTTGAAAAGTGGAAATATAGTGTTTCTACATAAGACAGGAGATTACAATCTAATAACCAGGACAACTGCTGGTGGGCCAAATCAAATGAGTTGGCGGGCCAATGTTGGCCCGCGGGCCCCACTTTGGGCACATCTATATTCAATTTTGAATCTATTAATAGTCAGTTACAAGCAGATCTTCAGACATTTCATGGTTGGCTTCAAGATAATCTTTTGTCAATTAATGTTTAAAAAAACTGTGCATGTATTTTTCCTCACCCAGGAGACATTTCAATATAAGAAATCAWCTCACTTTTTTAAACAAACCCCTTGATATTGTCACTACCTACAAATATCTTGGAATTACTTTGGATTCTCATTTCACTTATCGTGATCATGAACAAGTCTTAACCACTAAGTTAAAACAGAAATTAT